GGGCTTGATTCTGGCCTTGAGTGTCAGCAGTTCTAAAATATAACTCATAGCATCAAACAACAGAATTAATCATGGCAATTAGGATGAGTGACAGCAGTTCAAAGTGTTCAGTCTTCTAGGAATAAGACCCAAGTCTGGGCAGTGTCAGGACTCTGGCCAAATGACTTGGTGTTCAAGACTGGCCTCAACTCCCAGTGGGAACTGGAGAGAAGACCACAGCTGAAACCAGGCAGATAGAATGAAGCAACACCAAGCAGTCGGGGGTAAGATGGCTGCTTTGTGTGCTCCCAAAAGTCAAGGATGATATTACATGTGGTCAGGACCTGCCATCTCACCCCATGACTGAAAATGTCTAAGGAAGACTAGAAATTGATGCAAATCTCAGATTTATCTTTTCCTGGTTTTTATGGTAATATCTTAGGATTTAAGTTACATGATACTGAAATATAAATAAAATTTTATAATCATCCTCCAACAAATACACAAGAGACAAAGTATAAAACCCTTCAATTGATTTTAGCAATACAATTTATTTGTGCAACAAGTATTAGATATTATTTTCACTAAAATATTTTTAGTTTCAAAAATTTTATTTTCCAAACACAAATGGAAAGTATTCAATTTGTCATCAAACTATTCAGAATAAAATGCGGTAGGAGCTGGTGCCATTTTGGGGCTCAGCCCATCTGGTTTTCCAGATGACCTAATAAATTTATAATCCCTTAAATATGCTATAGAAAGTAAAAGCCCCCTTTCAGTTGAATTTTAAATAGGAGATTTTCTATTTCAGTTCTCTGAGAACAGAATATAAAGTTGAACTCATTATAACGGTAAATGAAAATTTTGATTTCAAAATAAAGCAAATAATTGTAGTACTGGTATATTACTTCATTTACCTCTATATTTTAAAGTTATTCATAATATGAGATTGAGATACAGCATAAGGGGAAGAATTCTGTGTCAACACAATCTATCAAAATACAGTAAATATTCTTTGACAGCATCTGAAGACCATGCACGTGTCCAGAATGGTGCTATCGCTGTATTTCGGCACCACCCCCTGGGGTCAGATCAGCAATGAGCACAATGCTGACTTTGCCACAATGCTCTGTGGAACTATTAAGTGTCTGCTTTATCCAACCAAGCCACGGGAAAAAAGAATGAAACAATGAACAGGTTATATTATTTTCTTCTCAGGTGTCATTTATTTTAAACTTCATGTGCAATTTAGTCAAATAAAAAGGTTGTAGAGGAAAGGAATGGGAAGTTTCAGAAAGAAAGATTTTTCCTTCACCCAAGTAGCCTATGATATATATACCTATAATAATAACAATTCTATATCCTATAATAATAACTTTTTAAAAAATACTAACCTGAATTGTGACTATGGTCACAATTGCAAAACTATTGCAAAAAAAAATATTTCACCTAACAACTCTGGAATGAAAAGAATCATGTTCTAGAGCTTTAATTAAAGTCTCGTATCAAGTACAAATTGCTTTGTGTTGCATGCACTTTAAGAATGGGAACATAACTGACCTTGTCCCATGTCCCATTTCCCACAAAGAAGGGTCCTACTGCTTTCTGCGGATCTGAGCACACACCATATGTTCTGCCAGCATAGACCAGGTTACCCCACGGACGCTCAGAAATCTTCCAGGGAAGCATTCACTGGGTGCAACCTCAATTAACGAATTACCCTGGCTGGGGGGTGGGGTAGGGGGACCTGGAAATCCAATTTAACCTTGTTCTGTGAAACCTTAATGTTTGAAATGCTTTACAGATATCAAAAAATAAACTTTGCACAAAACACTGTCCAAATACAAATTTTAAGTTGTGAAATCGTTCATAAATAGAAATCAGACAGCAATGTTCATATCACGTTTTTCAGACTGGCTAAACACTCAGTTTATCACTGTGTACTCCAGAGTGAGACATGTGTGCTGTTCCCACCGAATGACACAGATTTCAAAAAATAAGTATGATTAATTGGATAAGTTAAATGACTGAGTTAAAAGTTCCTGCAGCAAGCTCTCCGTTTGGTCATTTACACGTGGTAGTATTATTAAACCTTTAAAGATCATTTTTAAGGTGTCCAACTACCTCAATATAATAAAAATATTTAAAAGAGAGAAACAGAAAAATTATAACCAGGGTGTCTATAGTTAACCTATGGTGAAGAATAGACCACATGGGAAGGTGATATAAGGGAGCCCTTATAGTAACAAAATTATTATTAACAACAAAAGTACATATGCTAGTAATAACGGTGAACTAGAAAACTACATTACGCTGTAAAATCAAGTTAATTAATAGAAAGATGGAATACCAGATTACGTCATCTCTCCCCTCCCCCAGTCCAATTTTCACTTATTGTTACACATTAACTTCAGAGTCTATCCAGCTAACAAAACGTACTATTATGCGTTGGCAACAGCAAGATAACCGTAATAGTGGTTAGAAGGAAAAACTGTTATCCTACGAGAAAATCCTATTGAAATGACATCTTCTGAGAGATCCTGTCTACCTTTGTCTCTCCTTTATTGTGTATGTTCCGTGAGGACAGGCAGTATTCCTGTCCCCTGTGGCAGTGATTTTGGAAACTCCATTTTGATGTGTAAATTAAGGAGTTTCTAAACTGGAATTCTAGGACTGACAGCCCTGGGCTTGCTGTGGGAATGGGGGCAGCTCCCCCTGCTGCTGTCATCTCCGGCTCCGGGACCCGTCACTCTGTCCAGTTGCTAACTCTGCTGGGCAGCCCTGTCCACATTCATCTCAGAGCCTTGATGCACAGAGCCGGCCCTTCAGCTTGATTTCTGGCAGCTGGAAGAGCCTTCTGGAACAGGATATGGGCTTGACCACAGGCTTACTAAGTCCAAGGCGTGGACTAGAGCCCCTCACCCAGTATGGCTGGTCTTTCTGCCCCGTCAGCAGGCAGCACCACCTACTCAGGCAGGGTTCTCCCTTGTTTGTGTCTTTGTTTTTTTGTTCTTTTGTGAATCAAAAACAAAAGCTTCCCAAGACCTGGATTCTAAAAATCTTACTTCTAGAACCCAAACATGGACCAGTCATGTGCCAAATTTTCCCCCAAATGTCATTCTCCTCCTTGAGAAATTACATTAGTTTCCAGTTGACTAGACTTCCTACAAAGTGAAAATATTTTTAGAAGACAATGCTTTTTCTCAACCCCTGGCCTCTCTCTACCTGTTGTCTCACTCCTCCGCTGGCTACGAGCAGTGAGCCATCTGCCTGGGAGTTGGCATGAGATGCCCAGATCTTTCTCTGCCCAGTGGAACAAGGACGACACAGACGCAGGGTTCTGCTCAGCCCCTCGTGCCTTGCGTGTTAGGGAGGCAGCTCTGCCCACTGTGGGAGCAGGAGGGAGGACATGGGAACATGTGGAGAAAAAAACTGAGTATGGGAATCAAACATGCAGGCGGAGAGACTCTTCATGAAGTGCTGTGCGTTGGCCAGGTGACTCACCAAGTGACTTCTGTTTCCTGAGAGCCAGTGTGGAAAAGGAGCCTTGACCAGTTACCCAATTCACAGTGCTCACAGGAAGGACCAATTGCTCAGAGAAAGACAACCGGTCCCATAACTAAGGGCAGAAGAAAGTTCCCCAAAAGACCACATGAAGGGAGGCATTGTGTAATGCCACGAGCAGTGCCTCAGCAACGTCCACATAACAAGCCAAGGTCGAACTGAACATCACAGAGCTACTTCTGGACATGCCATTTATGGAGATGAACTGTACTGCCGCAGACCCAGCAAAAGCAATTCTGATCATTGGGGAAGGGGCTGTGCAAACAGATGACAATAGAAGTTAATTCTTGCATGCACGGCTCTGATAGTGTGAGCCAGTCCCAGGTGTCTATTTAGAATACTACGAGCAAGCACTCTGAATACTTGCTTGTCCTTGAGGGAAGCTTCGTTAAGCTTCTGATAGCTATTGGGCAGTAATGAGTTAGAGATTATACAGCCTAGAAAGTGCTTGGCATATAGATTCTCCAAATCTTGCTAATTTAATAGAGATCTACGAAGCCTTACTGACTAAGTTAAATAAGCCATTGAGCTGAGGATAGCGGTGGCATCTTCTTGGGTAAGTTAAGGTACCTAACAAAGACATACTGGTGCTGAGAAAAGCACCCAGAGCCCCTGCCCAGATGTGTGCAGGGAGTCAAGAGAATCAGGTGTGTTGAGACTGGCGACCTTGTTGATGCTGGGTGTGAGGTATGATCGCGGTTTCGCTATTGCTAACAGCACAGGAGCCCCTGTGCAGAAGAAGGTGTCACAGGACGTGGCCACTGGAGCAGGTCTTACCTCAGAGTGCTTTTGCTTTAAAGACTTCCTTGAAGTCTTCCCTCTTTTTGTCTTAGACCCTGAAGTGCTGGGAAAAGAGGATGGCTTTATCCTGTGTTGTGAGGACCATGGCGAAAACGTGAGCTCTTTCCCCTTCAATGATCTTGAGCCCTGGCACACAAAAAGAACCAGCTCTGTTATTCTCACTTCCTTCTTCGGATTCGTGTCCCTTTATTTTCTTCCCTTGCCCTGAGCTGAAGTAGCAGAGTGGAAGTGTTCAGTCCCAAGGGCCTGGATCTGTTCTTGCTCCCAGTCCTGCAATCCCCCTCCAGGCCTAATTTAACTTGCAAATTAATGCTAGTGTACAAAGAATAACATACCTTCAGATCAATGGTTTCTGGAGTCACCTGGAAAAGGAGTGGAGTATGGTGGTAGCTTGAGGACTGTATCTTAGTAAGAAGGCAGGGGAACAGAAGGTAGGTGTGAAGGGACAGAATGTGGAGACAAGCCATTGAGCCTGAGCATCAGCACGCCAGGATGACCCCTTTCACTTATGCCAGGCCCGCTTTCTCCACTGCTTACACTCATCTCCTGGCCTCCCATTCACACTTCTTGCCTCACTGATAAGCATCTTCTCTTTCAAACTCAAGATGCCAAAACAAGAGAAGCACAGAAGAAAAGAAAAAAACTAAAATGCAAACCTTGCCACTTACGATGTCCCACTTTTTTCTCATTTCCATTTCTTCTTTATGTTTACTAACCTGTGAAATGAAAGGCCCATGTCATTTGGTATTGTTTGCAAAGATGAGAAGGGAGAATTTTCTATAAAACTACCTTTAGCAATGAAAGAGTAGCATCCTAAACCATGTGACTGCCAAAACTATTATGGGAAAATAAGTTACAATGTTGAATATGATTTAGAAGAGAAAATAAATTTGTACCTAGGAAGAAAAGCATTTAAAAAAGTGAACAGAAATAGACAAAATTGTAAGTATTTATAATTATTAGCATTTATCCATGGCTTTAAGCATAATAGAGATTATAGAGAAACATGCACTGTTTGCTGGTGTGGTGATAATTTGTTTCATATGTTATTAAACTAGCTATAGATCTCAGGCCTTATACGATTTTTTTTTGAGAAAATTCAGATAATTTAATAGTCAAACTTCAATAATGTAATGAACGTAATTTTATTTGTTTTAATTATTATTCTTTTAAACCCTCACCTGAGGATATGTTTATTGATTTTAGAGAGAGAGGGATGGGGGAGGGGGAGAGAGAACAAAATTATTGATGTGAAAGAGAAACATGGGTCAGTTACCTCCCATGTGCACCATGACCGGGGATCAAACCTGAAACTTAGGTATGTGCCCTGACCAGGAACTGAGCCTGCAACCTGTAGTTGTAGGGGATGATGCTCCAATCAACCGAGCCACCCGGCCGGGCAATATGAATGCGATTTTAATTCAGAAAGTCTAGAGACCCTCATGTAGTAGTTTGCAAAACTAAAGCACTGAGTTAACTTAATGGAATTTTAAGGTTGTTGCAGAAGTATCTGTACTTTTACATGAATTTAGCACCAAACACACCTTTGTGTGCGTGCATCCAACTGTGATGAGCCCATGAATGCCAAGTTGGTGGAGGCCCTTTGTGCTGAACAAGATATCAACCAAAATGAAATGGAAAAAAACAAGAAACTAGGGGAATGGGTAGCCTCTGTAAAATCAACAGAGAGGAAAAATCCTGTCAAGTGGTTGGTTGCAGTTATGTGGTGGTTAAGGACTTTGGCAAACAGTCTCAGGCAAAGGATATCATTGAGGCGTACTTCCATGCAAGAAATTAATACATAAACTTGGATTTTGTTTCTCAAAAAAAAAAAAAAAGTCAATTTTAATTTCTAGGCATTAAAGGCATTTTATTAATATTTTTTAAAATTGAGGTGTAATTGACACATAACCTTGCATTAACTGTTGTACATCAATATTTGTATTTATTAAAAAATCATCACCACAAAAAGTCTAGTTAATATCTATCACTACATAGTTATAATTTTTTTCCTGTAGGGACTTTTAAGATCTACTCTCTTAGCAACTTTCAAACATATGATACAGTGGGGATGCTTTACATCCTCATGACTTATTTATCTTGTAACTTTAATTTCATACCTTTGATTCCCTTTACCCGTTTAGCCCACCCTCACCTCCCACCTCTGGCTACCACCAATCTCTGTATTTATGAGTTTGGTTTTTTGTTTTTATTTTAGATTACACACAAAGTGAGATCATATAGTATTTGTCTTCCTCTGACATTTCACTTTGCATAATTTCCTCAAGGTCCATCCACGTTGTCACAAATGTCAAAAAAAATATATTATTAATGCATGCTTCAATAAACAAGTTTTAATAATATGAATTTGTAAGTATTGCCAGTGATCTGAATCTGAATAATCTTATTATGAAAGTAAACAATGATGAAAAATACCTCTAACCATTAATTTCATTGGTGTCTAAACATCAGCTATAATATATTTTCAAAGATATTTCTTCCCTCATGGATACAGACAATAGGATGGTGAAGGCCTGGGGTTGGTGAGGGCTAGAAGGGGCCAATCGGGGGGGAGGTGGGGATATGTAATACTTTCAACAATAAAGATTTTGTAAAAACTATCTCTTCCCTATTGATAGATCAGAATTCAATAAAATGTAACTGTCTCATGACATCTTGGGGTCTGGGAAGATAGTAACTGATGTCTGTGAAGAACTGTGTTAGGTTATCTCAGTGGGTTTAAATTCAAGGCTAATGTTATAATTAACTTCCATGATAATGGTTTAAAAATAAATCCTAAAAAAAATAGAAAGCTGGAGGCATTACACTTCTTGATGTCAAACCATATTATAAAGCACAGTAATTAAAACAGTATTGTTCAGTGGTTAGAGTGTTGGCCAGAGCACTGAAGGATCACAGGTTTGATTCCCAGTCAAAGGCAAACAGTCTCAGGTTTGGGTAACAGGTTTTGTCCCAACCCTAGGTGAGGGAGAGTGGGGGAGATAACCAGTCCATGCATCTCTCTCACATTGATTTTTCTCTCTCTCTCTCTCTCTCACTCTCTCTCTCTCTTTCTCTCTCTCTCTCTCTCACACACACACACACACACACACAAACAAACAAAAAAACAATATGGTGCTAGCATAAAAAACAGACATGTAGACCAATGGAACAGAATCAAGAGCACAGAAAAAAACCCATATATGTGTAGTCAACAAATATTTGACAAAGTAGCCAAGAATACTCAATGAAGAAAATGCTCTTCAATAAATAGTGCTGGGAAAATTGGATATTTACATTTAAAAGAATGAAACTAAAGCCGTACTTTATACCACTCAAAAAATTAAATTGAATGAATGAAAGACTTAAATGTAAGACTGGAAACCATAAAACTCCTAGAAGAAGACATTGAGAAAAATCTTTTTGACATGGGTATTAGTAATAATTTTTTTATATGATGCTCAAAACACAACAAAAGCAAAAATGTCAAATCATCTGCCTATTTTTAATTGGATTGATTGTGCTGCTTTTTGCTGTTGAGCTGTATATTTTGGATATTAACTCCTTATAAAATATACTAGAGGCCTGGTGCACAAAAATTTGTGCACTGGGGTTGGGGGGAGTGGTCCCTCAGCCCGACCTATGCCCTCTTGCAATCTGGGACTCCTTGGAGGATGTCCACCTGCTGGCTTAGGCCGGCTCCCTGGCATATAGTCCCTAGGACTATATCAAACAAAAAAGCTTCTGAATAGCAAAAGGAACAACAAAATGAAAAAGCATCTATAGGCTAGAAGAAAATATTTGGAAATTATCTACACTAATAAAAGACAAACATGCAAATTGACCATACCTTTGCTATGCCTTAAGCCACGCCCACCAGCCAATCAGAGCAACTATATGCAAATTAACCCAACCAAGATGGCGGCTGGCAGCCATGGAGTTGGAGCAAGCAGGAGGCTTGGTTGCCCCAATGATGGAGGAAGCCAAGCATCCCAGCCGCGGTTGGCTCTGAGCCCAACTCAAAGCAACAAAGTTTCAATTGTAGAAGATAAATAAACCCCAGATACCTGATTTCAGCCGTGGCCATGGAGCTGGAGCGAGCAGGAGGCTTCCCTCCCGCCCACCTTGGCTGGCTCTGAGCTCCTCTCAAAGCAACAAAGTTTCAATTATAGAAGGTAAATAAATCCCACAATAAAAAAAAAAGAAAAAAAAGGAGAAACTATGAGCTTCTGTCGCCGGGGGGGCTTGGCCAGCCTGAAAACGGCCCTCAGCCCCTCACCCAGGCTGGCCAAACCTCCATGGGGTGAGGGTCCCCACTGGGGAGGGCTTGACCAGCCTGCAAACAGCCATCAGCCCCTCATCCAGGCTGGCCAGGCACCCCAGGGGGACCCCCACCGTGATCTGGGACACCCTTCAGGGCAAACCAGCTGGCCCCCACCCATGCACCAGGCCTCTATCCTATATAATAAAAGGGTAATATGCAAATTGACCCTAACAGCAGAACGACTGGGAATGACTGGTCACTATGACACACACTGACCACCAGGGGGCAGATGCTCAATGCAGGAGCTGTTCCCTGGTGGTCAGTGCACTCCCACAAGCTAGGCTGATGGCTGCCAGCACAGTGGTGGTGGCGGGATCCTCTCCCACCTCCTGAGCAGCACTAAGGATGTCTGACTGCAGCTTAGGTCTGCTCCCTGCTGGTAAGTGGACATCCCCCGAGGGCTGCCGGGCTGCCAGAGGGCTGTCTGACTGCCAGGGAGCCGGCCTAAGCCAGCAGGTGGACATCCTCCAAGGAGTCCCAGATTGCAAGAGGGCATAGGTCGGGCTGAGGGACCACTCCCCCCAACCCCAGTGCACAAATTTTTGTGCACCAGGCCTCTAGTATATTTTATAAGGAGTTAATATCCAAAATATACAGCTCAACAGCAAAAAGCAGCACAATCAATCCAATTAAAAATAGGCAGATGATTTGACATTTTTCCAGAAGATATTCAAATGGCCAACAGGTTCTCAACCTCACAAATCATCAGGGAAATGTAAACCAAACCACACTTGTTAGAATGGACAAGAAAGAACAAGAGATAACAACTGTTGACAAGGATGTGAAGAAAAGGGAACTATTGTACACTGTTGGTGGGAATGTAAATTGGTGCAGTCACTATAGAAAACACTATGGAGATTCCTCAAAAAATTAAAAATAGAACTACCATGTGACCCAGAAATTCCATTTCTGGGTACTTATCTAAAGGAATAAAAAAGCACTAACTTGAAAAGGTATGTGCACTACCATGTTCACTGAAGTATTAGTTACAATAGCCAAGATATAAGTAACCTAAGTGTCCATCAATAGACAAATGGATAAAGATGATATCATATATATATATGTAATGGAATCTTACTCAGCCATAAAAAAGAATGAAATCTTGCCATTTGTGACAACATGGATGAAATTTAAGGGCATTATGCCAAGTGAAATAAATCAGACAGAAAAAAAATCGCATATTATCTTATTTATAGTAAAATCTAAAAAGAAAACCAAAACCCCACACTTCATAACCCAGCAGGCATGGCACAGTCGTTGAGTGTCTGCCTATGAACCAGAAGGTCACAGTTCAATTACCCGTCAGGGCACAAGCCCGAGTTTCAGGCTCGACCCCGATGGGGGGCCTGCAAGAGGCAGCCAATCAATGATTCTCTCTCACCATTGATGTTTCTATCTCCCCCTTTCCCTTCCTTTCTGAAATCAATAAATATATTTAAAAAAAACACACACAAATGACCTCATAACCTCATAGATACAAGGAGCAGATTGGTGGTTGCCAGAGGCAAGGAATGGAGGGGCGAAATGGTGAGGGTGGTCAACAGGTACAAACTTCCGGCTATAAAACAAATTAAGTCCTGGGGATGTGAGGTACAGCATGGTGATTATAGTTAATGACACTGGATTATATATTTAAAGTTGCTAAGAGAATAAATCAAAAGTTCTCATCATGAAACGAAGTTTGTAACTGTGTGGCGATTGATGTTAACGAAACTCATCCTGGCAATATTTTGCAATATATACATATATTGAATCATTTCGTTGTTCACCTAAAATACAATGTTATATGACAATTATATTTAAAAGTAAAAGAATGCCACTAAGCGTAGGCATCTTAGGAAAATATGACATTTTTTCATATGCTTCCCTTAAAGCCAATGTAAGGATACAATTGCTCCATATTTTGTTGCTTACCTATACTTTTTACTATCAGCTCTATGACTTTTAAAACGAGGCTTTAACTAGGCCAGAAAATAAACTGTATAAGCAAGCATGGAACAAAAAACCGTCAGTGAGAACGTTCTTAAGTTTTACAAATTGACTCTGGTCCCTCTATCTTCTCCCACTCCTCCATCTGGGTGCAATCACAAACCTTCATTTCTGGAAAAAAAGCACTCTGGCAAGAAACAAAGGAAGCCCAAGTAGCCACAAAGCCAGCCTCCCTCCCGGTGAATAACAGAATGCCTGGCGGGGGGGCGAGGGGTGCCAAACAGTGACCTTGCTGTGCCCAACGGTATGCCATGGAAAGCTTGGTTGTAAGAGGAACCTGAAGCTTACTGCCTCCACTGAAAACATGGATCCCAAACTAGTTTTGAGGGACTGAGGCTCTTATGCTGTTGTGGGGTTTGTGATAAAAGATCTTGCTGCTTGGCAACAAGTGGGTGCTCAACAAACTTCTAAACAACGAAATAAAAGGTGATTGGTTCCCCCGGGGGCAACAGAATAGCACCGGTTAACCTCATACAGTTCAAATAAAGAGGAAAAGTGATTCAAAAACTATGGGGACTGTTCTTAATACAGGCACAAACTTCCTGATTGAGTAGTTTAATTTCTTGTCTAACATTGCTAACAAACGGGCGGGCAATATAACCTTTGCTTCCCACTCTATAATAGCACTTTCCATTTCAATGACAACATTTAGTTGTTTTCAGAAGCAACTCCTGGACTTTGGAAAGAAGAGGGTGGGGTAGGGTGGGGCAGAAGAGATTCACCAAGTATACGCAAATAATTAAGCCAATTTTTTTTATATGCAGGTATTTAAAGGTAAAGAGTTCAAAATAACGTATTTGTTAATACATGGTTTCTGTGACTAGCTAGCCATCATTTTTTTTTTCTTTGCCTGCATTCACAAGTTGGTTTCATAGAAGGCTGTATTGTAGTCCGGGAGCATTGTTTTGCATTAATTTCTATGACAAGGAACCCAAAACACATGGTGCCGAGAGTAACAAAACAGAGTTAGGAAAACAGTCATGACTTGGCACAAAGTGTGACAAGCTGTAAAAAGAGGCATGTTTCAATATCTGAAGTGGTGTGGATTTCCTATGAACAACCTTTTCTCTTCTAAACAGTATCATATTCTTTTCAGGCACATTTAGAACGCAAGTCAAGCTGTGTTTTATTTTTGATTATAATAAACACAGTCAGTTTACTGTAACAAAGACATACTAGTGGTGATCAGTTGAAAGCCAAAATACAACCCCATAAGCTGGGCGGGGGGTAGGATGGGGGGACCCGGGGGTGGGTAGTCAACTGATAAAATAAAAGACCAGCCGTCTGGAAAGTTCTCTTAAAAGAACATAAAAAGGCAGTGTTTTCTTATGAAACTAACACAGAATGCCAAAATATCTAACTTGGCTCTTTTTTTTTTTTTGTCACTAAGAGCAATTTGTAACTAAAAATAGAAAATCCTTCAAAATACTGGGCTCTCTATAATAAAATTCAAAAATTTCATACACTACTTTAAATTATAATACTATTTCTTATGTAAAACTCTTCTACATAATAAGTATATTTGTTATAATACTAGTTAAATGATCATTTTAAAATGTTTATAATTATGCATGCACTTAGATTATTTATAAAGGGAAAGGGAATAGTTCACAATAAACAGGTACAAAGACAGTTTAGAAAACTCTCATGATTAAATTAAATTCCTGAATTCAAATTTATTAGGAAATAATGTAAATCACCTTACCATTTCTTGAACTAATACTTTTTCAGCATTAAGTTCAGCCTTTAGTTTATCTCTACCTTCAGTTAACTGAAAGAGAAGAACATTACATTTTGATTATAAAAACAGACCACAAAAGAATTTAGTGAAATATATTTTGTTTCTGAATATGAGAAAAACAGATCCCAATATGATTAAAGAAAAAAATTAAATGTCTAATGCTAAGTGAAATAAGCCAATCATAGAAAGACAAATAGCATGTGATTTCACTTATATGTGGAATCTAATGAACAAAATAAACTAACAAACAAATAGAAACAGATTCATAGCTGTCAGAGAGAAGAGGGTAGGAGGCCTGGGTGAGAAAGGCGAAGGAATTAAGAAAAAAACATACAACCTCATAGACAGATAATAGTATGGTGATGACCAGAGGGAAATGGGGGTGGGAGAGGCAGGAGAGGGTAAAGGGGGGGTAAATGGTGATGGAAAGGGACATGACTTGGGGTGGTGAGCACACAACACAATATACATGATGTATTATAGAATTGTACACCTGAAATCTATATAATTTTATTAACCAATATAACCCCAATAAATTCAATAAAAATTAAATGTCTACAGATTACCATGTACTAATAACATATTACCACATAATTATTACCAGACACCCAGTGCACAAAAATTGTGCGGGGGGTGGGGAGCATAGGTGGGGTCCCTCAGCCCAACCTGCACCCTCTCCAATCTGGGACCACTCGGGGGATGTCCAACTGCTGATTTAGGCCCGATCAGTGCTGGATTGAGGCTAAACCGGCAGTTGGACATCCCTCTTGCAATCCGGGACCTCTGGCTCCTAACGGCTTACCTGTCTGCCTGACTGATCACCCCTAAGCACTCTGCATGCCAGCCTGATGCCCCTAACTGCTCTCCCCTGCCAGCCTGATCCCCCTAACTGCTCTCTCCTGCTGGGCCTGATCGCCCCTAACCACCTCTGCTTCAGCCCCACCACCATGGCTTTGTCCGGAAAGATGTCTAGAAGGTCATCTGGAAGATGTCCAGTCTAATTAGCATATTACCCTTTTATTAGTATAGATACTTTTATCATATAAGCAAACAAAATATGCACAGAAAATATCAATTTATTTACGACCTTCGTCATCTCCAAAAATGTGATATCAATACATAATAAAGCAAGTCTTAATTAGTCAAAAAGAGTGATTTACTCTTTCTATCACCCATTTCTTATTTTAGGTTTTTGTTATATATATGTATACTAGAGGCCCGATGCACAAAATTCACTTCAGAGTAGGCCTTCCTTCCCCCAGTGGCCAGCACCCAGGACCCGGGCTTCCCTCACAGCCCTGGCTTCATCTGGAAGGTCATCTGGAAGGACATTCAGAAGGACATATGGTCTAATTACCATATAATGCTTTTATTATTATAGATATATATAGCCATATTTCATACCAATTAAAAACAGCCAGTGTGCTCTCAGGGATGAAGTGCAGAGACCCCAGGAGGGGCCGCTATGAAGCTGAACCTTGCAGAGGTAAGCCAGGCACGGGCTGGGGAACAGTGTGGTGACGGTAAAGAGAGGAGTTTTATTTCCAGGCCCACAGTCTCTAAGGTCCCCTTTCCCCAGCATCCCCCCAAGATTCCCAGGGGAATGTTCTCAGCTCCCCTGGACCAGCTAAAAAATAAATAAATAAAAAAAATAAAAAATAAAAACAGCCAGTGTGGCTCAGTGGTTGAGTGTCAGGAGGTCACTGTTCGATTACAGATCCAAGCACATGCCTGGGTTGTGGGTTTGATCCCCAGTGTGGGGCATGCAGAAGGCAGCCAATCAATGATTCTCTCTCATCATTGATGCTTCTATCTCTCTCCCCCTCTCCCTTCCTCTCTGAAATCGATCAAAATATACTTAAAAACAAAAAAGAAAGAGAGCAAGAAACATTGATGTGAGAGAGACACATAAATTCGTTGCCTCCTGCATGAGCCTGGACCGAGCCTGGGATCGAACCTGAAACCCTTCAGTGTGCAGGCTGACCACTGGTTTTGATATCCGTTCAATTCAATTAATTCATATATTCACTAATTTAATAAACATGTAGGGGACACCCTTTAGATGCCTAACATTTTGTTTGGCTATGGAAGTATAAAAATGAGCTAGAGCAGATCCCTTCCCCTGTAGTATCCAGTATGGTAGGAGAGTAATGTGAAATCACTATAGAACATAAAGACAAATGTTACATCAAATCTTCAGGTAGTCGAAAAGCATAAAAATCCACATAACACAGCAACCGTAATTATAATAAGGTCTGTTATTCCAGGTTTTAACTTCACAAGAGTAGTACCATCGACAAGGGTCTTGAAGAAGATGCAGAAATTCAACAAGCTGGAGAAGGAGGAAGGTGGAGGAAACAGCCAACAAAACAGCAGTGTAGACAGAGGGAAGCATCGAGTAAGGGAGGAATTGGGAAACCTTTGGTGTTATATGACTTAGGTGCTTACACAGAGGAATGGCAGGAAATGAAGGCAGAAGGAGATTCAGGGTGTTATTATGAGGGGCCTTGCTCGCCACAGTTAGGAGGGGAAGGCAGAATGATGTAATGAATAGTAGTTGGTTCAAGTCAAAGCTCTGCTTCTTACTTCTGTGTGAGCAAGTTAATTCTCCACTTTAAGCTTTAATTGTCTCATATAATAAAAAGTTATCGTGGGAGGAATTTGAGATAGCAAATATGAAAGTGCTTAATTGTTGCTGATATTAAAAATCACTGGGTACATTTTAGGGTAGGCTGGTTTTATACTGACGGCGATGGGAAACCATTGAGGGTTTTAGCACATTAGATTAGGGTACTGGATAACTATGGCAGTAAAGAATGACTCTAGTAAAATCGACCCCTCTTTCTTCTCCCCGCCCCCCTTCCTCCCTCCCTTCATCTCTCTTTAAAATCAATAAACAAATTTTGCAAAAAAAAAAAAATTGAGGATGAGGACAGAGTGAAAATTAAGGAGGTGGCATTTAGGGAAAATCTAAAGCAGGAGAGAAAGGTTTAGAAGTTACTGGTAAACAGGTGTGCCAGTTATGGGAGCATCTGAGGTCAGCCAGAGAAAAAAGAATAAAGCCAAGGCCCCAAGAATAGTATTTCAGGGGAGATGGAGGGAGAGAAGCTTCTGACAGACATTGCTTAGAAAAGGATGAAGAAGTGTGTGAAAGGTCAGAAGCAAGCATTACTGCAGAAGACACCTGTGATGTGAGGCACAGTTCTGTCACCTACAGTAGAAAATTCAAGAAGGAAAAAGATGGGAGAGAATTAAGGGCAATATGGATCTCATCGTAACCCAATCAACAGGACAACTAGCATCGGGGGAGAGGAGAAGAGTCTGGTTTTCTTTGAAATGATATTTAAAGAACAGCAAATGGCAATGGCTTTGGAAGGCACAAGAGAGAAAAAGACTGATGAAGAAAGGTCCCAGAAGAGAATAAAGAAGAGGTGGAGTCAGGCCAACAGGTGGAAGGAAGAATCCAGGAAAAGAAGGATGTCCCCTCTTCTGCTGACAATGAGTAAATGTAAGCTAAGTGACAGAGTAAGAGAGTGCCGAGGAGGAAAAAAAATCCCAATGTCCATCATGTTCTCTGTGCGTTACGGAGTAGTGCAGGGAAATGGAGTGCTGGAATTGAGAAAGATTGTGAAAATTGGAAGAGCTGTAGTAGGTAGGTAGTAAGAAAGGGTACTAATCAGATCAGTGTGAAACGATAGACAGAGGAAGGGTGCGGCTACTCTGGATTAAAACCTCCCATATTGCCCTGACCGGTTTGGCTCAGCAGATAGAGTGTCGGCCTGCGGACTCAAGGGTTCCAGGTTCGATTCCGGTCAAGGGCATGTACCTTGGTTGCGGGCACATCCCCAGTGGGGAGTGTGCAGGAGGCAGCTGACCGATGTTTCTCTCTCATCGATGTTTCTAACTCTCTATCCTTCTCCCTTCCTCTCTGTGAAAAATCAATAAAATATATTTAAAACAAAAACAAAAAAAACCTCATATATTTGCAATGTTGCCCAAAGGCAAGGATTGGGTTGTCTCCAGTAGCACAGGGCAGTCCCCAAACAGGGCTGGTGAACACTGGGGACTGGCAAGATGAGAGGCTCAGGAGGTAAGGGGTGCAGTTGAAGATGTGGGGGTAGACATCAGACTTAGAAAAAATAAAAGAATGAGAAGGGTGGAAGGCAAAGATTTTCTGTTGAATCTTCATAACTTAGCCTGAAGAGAAGTGTCACCAAGTTTCCAGTGGGTGTCAATTACCAGCCAACACCAAGGACATTGGCCCCAATCCTGCCTGCCCCCTGTGATCTCTCCTCATCAATGATATCCTCTTTATTGTTCTTTTACCCTCATTCTCCTTTCCATTGACATTATTTAAAGATACTCCTTCAAACCCCTGTTGCCCTCCAACAACTCCCCACCACTCCCTGGCCGTCCACAGCCAAACTTCGAGACAGTGTCCATGCTCACTGCCTCCCTTTAGCACTCACCTCTCTTCACAGCTGCTTCTGCCATTCCAGGAAAATGGCTCTCGCTAACACGACCAGGGTCATCTTGTGACCAAAGCTAAATGGCCCAGTCTTCCCCGTCAGCCTTCAGCACCCCTGGCTTCTAAGCAGCATTTGACACACTGGGAGTGTGTCCTTCCTTTTTGAGAATTTCTTGATGGCTTCTGAAGTGCCCTCTCCTGCTTCTCCCCCTGCTGTGCCACCCTGTTCTCATTTTCATCTAAATGCTATCCAGCCTTAACTCCTCCTTCTCCTTTATCATTTCACCTCCAACCTTACCCGTGACCAGAGCCATGGCTGCCGAATCATCTTTTGAGTGCATCCCTTCCCATGATCCCCAATGTCACTGTCCTCATTTTGTTTCAGGATCATATAGTTTCCATGCTTTCTCCAAGTAACTCTTAATTCGTCTCTCTTGCTCTGGATTTTCCTCCTTCCCATGTGTTTTCTTTAGGAAACACACATCGGATCCTGCCCCAATGTTCAGAGTCCCTCAGTGCACAAGGAAAGTCATTCAAACCTCTTGGAATGAATCATAATCCTCTACCATGTGCCCTGCTCCTCAACACCCCTTATTCTCAGGTGCCCTTCAGCTATTGCAAACCTCACACATTTACTTCCCTTTGGCATGTTTCTTACCCTGGCCACCTCCCCCTCATCCTTGCTTGGAATTCTAACCTCTCTTTCAGGAGTCAGCTCAGTGCCCTTCCTCCAACCTTCCCTGGCCCCGTACTCCTCAGGATGGGCGTGCCCACTGTGCACTCGGTGGTGCCTGCCTCCAGAAGCCGATCACACCCTGGACTGTAATCTCGACTGCTGCTCTGTCTCCCTCCCAGAAAGAAATTCTTATTGTGGCCACAGCTGGAATACAGATTCAGCTGTATTTAGATTATTGGAACTAAAACAGTGAAGCTACATAATGGATAATTTTAAGCTCTGACAGGCAGTAAGAGGTCAGCCTCCCCAAGTTCAGTCCCATTTTCAACTTTCATTTAATTGCAACCACGGCGAAAAAAGGGAGCATGTGACTTATCCAGAGGTTTCCGAGCTGCCCTTTCCATTCCTCCATTTCCTGCCTACCTCTTCCCCACACCCCACACCCCAACTTCCCCTCTTCCTACCCCACCAGAAATTCTCACCACATGGTCTCCCCAGATTCCTGCCTCATACCTAGCCATACCAAATCACAAACAGGCCCACAAACATCTCTCACTCATGATGTAATCACACTCTGATGTACTCAGCTCTTCTACCCTCTTACCTCCCGGAAAAATCAGCTCAAGTAAAAGAGTGTGAGACGGATGTGGAACTGTTTGCAAACCTTTCATAGAACCTTCTGGGCATCTCTTCTCTATGTGCAGACTTCTATTATAGTCCATATAGTCCTTATCTCTACATGACAGGTAGACAGAATAGCTTTGGGAAACGTTTAAATGAACTGAGACTGTTCCCTTGTAGATTCTTAAGTGACACTGGCAAGCTGAGATTTTATTTTCCACCTTAGAACTTGATGCCAAGATTAGACTTGTCTGTGTCCAGACTCTGCTAGCTCTGTGAGAAGGGGATTTCGCCGCCACCACTGCAAACACGGTGAAGCCCAAGAACAGGAAAGCACTTTGTGAAAAAGTATGACAGATTCAGTTACCAGAGAAAACATCTCCCAAATCTGACCCGTCAGGGTGGCCATGTCTTTAAAATATAGTTTTTTGAAGTAATTTTACCTAAAACATAAGAATACCCTAAACTGCAAAATCAGGTTGAAAACTGAACCTAAACGTAGACCCATGAGCCCTGGAAACGGGGTTAATGTAGAAGAACTGTTAATTTTATCTAATTTTAATTAATTTTTAATTAGAAACTGATACTCGATTCAGTTCATAGAAAGCAGGTATGTTTATTTAGAATAATTCAGGGCGGTAAATCCACTTTTTCACCTGTAAATTCTGTAAATGTTATGGATTCTAAGTGCATTCTCACTCTATGAAAGGCTCCAAGGGTATTTGTGAGTAAGTGTGCCACGCGCTGTGCTCAGCCCTGGGACTGTGCCAGAGACCAAGAGCGCGCAGTCTCTGCCCTCGTGGGGCTAAGGTACCGCAGAGAAGACGGGCCTCACAGAAGGGTGTTTTGGGAGCTGCAGTAGGGGCAGGACATTGGGCTAAGAAAGCACAAAGCAGAGCCCTGACCTGGGTCCTGCTGCATTGAGTGCACGAGGAAATCTTGATCTTTATGACACCAAAGAATTCCCTGTTCTAAATGCAAATTTCCTGGGTAACATAAGCCCAGTTAACTCATGTACTGAAAAATGAACATAAACCACCCTCTGACCTGAGAATCCGACTGCTCACTCTTAACAATATAATTTTTCCACAGACACATCTCTGGCCTCCCTGCCCTGCAAGTTTTCGATTCCTTACAATCAACAAGAGAGACTCTTAGTTATCCCAAATAAAAGGAGTATCTATACATTAATTCAATACCAAGACAGAATCCTTATTCATTACTAAGACCTTCCCGAATAATGAGAAATCGACTTGACATCACAGGACAAGTGGGGCACAGCGTTATTTCGCCAATTGGGCTGATATTTTAATTTAAAAGAGTCATTCATCAATGTAAAGAAGTTACAGTACCCTTTGAATGGTTTTCTGATCCTTTTCTGCCGTCTCTTTCAGAGTCATAATTTCATCTTCTATAAACAAAAAGAGAGAGAGACCAACCATGAAATTACAAGTTTATGCCCTGTATTCAAACTTCCTGCTTCCAGGCAGGCTGTACACCACTGGCAGGCATGGTGGACGCAAGTCCTAGCAGGACTGTGACCTTCACAACTGCCCTTGACACTCACAGCCTTCTTCCTGCTGTTAAGAAGGCTGGTCAGATAGGGATTAAGAACTAAGTTCAAGATCCAAGTGTGGCCGAGGGCTGAAAGCTTTTCATCAATACTCGCCATGGACACTTTTGCTGCTAGTCACAGCCTATGCAAAGTGCTTCAGCAGGTGGCACGTTTTGACTCAGTCAGCACCACCAGAACCTAAAAAAGCACTATTACACCACATCAGAAGAAAAGCCAAACTACGCTGGCACAGTACAACTGTATATTTCAGAGATATTGTAATAGAAATGATTTTATCCATATTCTGTGACTTCTTTATTGCTTACTCGATACCTTTCATACTGCAGATTAAGAGCAACATTATATAATTAACATAAATACAAAGATAACAGTCAGTGAAAAAAACTGCTTAAAGCAATATAACTCTGGAGGTTAAAATAAAGCTCTCACCAATGTTTATGGTATGTAAAAAAGGGGATACAAATGAACATTTGTACTTAAAATCTGTACCAAAAACTGAAGATAATTAAGTAGTAAGTCAGAGCATATATTTCTGAAGGGCTAACGCTGTTTTGCCACAAGCCATATCTCAATATGTATTTATAAGTTTTAAATGTTATAAATTTTACATAACTAATTAAGCATAAGAAACAGAAATTGGCAAAGGTTTCTGTTTTATAACATTTCTAAGTAAAATAAAGCATGGATTAGCACATTATTTTCAAAGGTCAATGCTTGGCTTGAAAGAAAAAAGCTTAGAAAAGCCCTGAGTTAAAATGACATGGCTCAGGAGTATAATTACAATATTTACATATATTCCCTGTCCCAAGCAAGAAATGCCATTTTTAATGAAAATCAAAGATGGCTATCAAACTGATCTTTCAAATGTAAATAACCAGATAAATGTGTGTTTGGAAAAGACAAACATAGCTATGAATTTTATAAAGTGCCCAATATATAGATTTCCCTTAAAAATGACTTTAAAATATTACCTAAAAATGCATTTTCTTTTAGATTGAGTTGGGCTACTTCTTCGAGTTCTGCAACGACTTGAAGCAGTCTCTCATTTTCCACTTTGTACTCCAAATGTTCCTTCACTGAAGCTGTTTCTTGGCTGGCCTCTGTTGCCAAAGCTTCCTGAAAGATGGGGAATTCCATATTTGTAAGCAGGGAGCCAAGAATTTAAATATGCAGCACAAGACAAGACAGATACAGAAGAGCTATCATATAATTTTCTGAATTCTATTACACACTTACAATATGAATAGCAAAAAGGAAGGGGATTAAATAGAGCTTGCTGGAAGAAAGGCTGCAGTACATTCTGTACAAAGACCACAGCACATGGGGACATTTTATTGACAGGAATAATGCATATCATACTGTTTGTGTGCCCTCATCATTCAGGTCAATTCATTATGGAGCCTATGGCCGGGGAGGCAGCTGGGGCCCCTCACCCACATTTCCCCCTGTGTGTGTCTGAAGTGCTGTCTGCCTGTAACTAGGCAGGCTGGGGGGACCGTGGACGGGCAGCGGCAGGGGGTGGCAAAGTGCACCGTGAAGGAGGGAGGCTTGTTGCCTTTGTGGCATCTCCCAGTGTCAGTGCTGCCGGTGTCATGAGGAGCACATCACATGTCAAAGTGGTGACGTTTTCAGGCTGGGAGCCGCATGGAGTCCATCAGGCACTCGGATATCCACACAGTTGGTTTTCTGCTTGGTGGAGGAGCCACCCAGAGGCAATTCATATTCTGAACATTAACATGGCTTTGCATGCCTGTCACACTGGGGCTGTGCAGGCGTTGAATGCTATTGAAGACTTCGGTTTAAATCTCTATGCAAACAGTGATTACCTTGTAAGAAGGTTTCAGGATAACTTACAACAAAAGACTTTAAAGTTATAGTTTTAGTAAAGCACACTCATTTACATTTTTATTATGTGAGTCTTTTGTTTAAATCTTGCCACGTCCATTATGGGAGAGGCTTTTTCTTACGCAATAGAAGCTTATTGGGACAGCGACTCTTCTTTTCTTCTTCTCCTTGTCTTGTTTCAAAGCTATTGGAGACATCTGAATATACTCACGGCTGTCTACATTTTACTGCCACACATTATTTTTAAAATTAAGATATAATGGATTGGGGAAGCTGGTGCAGAACTTTATGCTTCATGGTGGTAAAATATTAAACTGATTATGCCATCTCAAAATATTAAAGGGTATGCTCACAGGTCATTATATTAGGCTAAAAGAGATAGAAGGTTCCTATATGCCTTGCTTCAAAATCGATAGACACTAGAAATACTTTTGAACTTTAAAGTAATCTTTAGATGAATTCTAACTTATCTTTCCATAGCAATGTCATGGCTGCAGATACATAAGAATAAGGTTTCCCCTCAAAACCAAAATCATTCCTCCCGATGTGCTGCTTTCCTTTTGGAATTGTATTTTTACTTAACTTTAGAGACACCTGGGAGTAAATTATTAAAATAGTTTCAAAAAATATTTTCCTCTGTGCTCATAATGGCCTAAAAGAAAAATAAGTGTATATAATGTCTTGTATAACAATAATTTCTTACAAATCAAGCATTTTAGTGAAGTAGTTAGGTCAGAGTTAATATTTAAAATAATGTTAAGTTTTGCCTAAGCCCAATTACAAATCTTCATGAGATTGATTCACCATTTCATTTAAATTATTTGAGCTTGATTCATTCTTAACTAAATATCTAATAGTTATGTTTTCTTATTAGCAGAGAAATCCAGTTATTAATGTCTTGTCGCACAGGGTTAAATTTGAAATGATTACAGAATATATTTATAGACTAAAAAGGAATTTATTGAGTTATGGTCTAAAAGGGTTTTTAAATAACAAACAAATAATATTTGCCTTGCTAGGCTTACGCATACATTTCCTAACAGTGACAAAATACGAACACCCACAGTGGATTACATGAGTGCCATTACCATAAAATAAACAAGAACTATTTGAATTAATCAGGTGAAGTCTAAAATTTGTAACTGGCAGAAGCTAATACCTAAGTTCATTTTCTAAAAAATATTATTTAAAAGTAGGAAACAAGGAAAACACATTTAACTCAGATTTATTTTCTCCACATAGCCATCTACAGCTCCTGTTCTTATAAGCTTAACCTTTAGCTCTGTCCCCACCATCTGTTCACTGTAGGAACTGCAAGTAATTAACTATTCAGACTCTCACAGCAATGAGGACACTCATTAGCAAAATGAACAAAGGGATAGTTCTGGGCTGCCACGGTCATCTGTTACACTCTGAGTGGCAGGTTTTGTGATGGTGCTCCTTCTACCATCTGCCCACATCACTAGTTTTGGTTTACTTAAATCATGGGACTTATTTAAAATATGCTGCATTAATAAACTAGGGCTAGGAAGATCATTAAAAGGTGATTAACTAGATGTTGCTAATTTAAAGCCATGTTGTCATAGATGAGAAATTGTGTGTGATTCGTGACCATCTTGTAATTTTAAGTTTATAAAGGAACTTGCCAATTTAAAATGTTCCTATTATGTGAAAAGTAGGACTTCCGGTGGTGGCTTACGCACTATTTTGCTTGTAAACAGTCGCAAGATGTGCAGATTCACGGTTCCCAGGGTTTTTAATTCTAAACTATTCTTGAAAGAATAATTTCTGAAAATTGGTATACTCTAGTGCCTTGCTGCTCAAAGTGTAGTCCATGGACCAGGAGCCGAAGCACTACCTGGGAGCTTATTGGAAATGCAGAATCTCAGGCCCCAGCCCAGCCCGACTACCAGAAGCTGTGTGTTAACAATTGCTGCAGGTGGTCCATATGCACAATGAAGTCTGAGAAGCACTGTTTAGAGCACCGCCTGTGCCTCCTCAGCAGTCTCCCTTCTGCCATGTGGGTGCCTCGATGCTGCAGGCTCCATGCACGCCACTTGGACATCTCAATTTGATGCTGGGGGTGGAGTACGTTCTGATGCGTGCCCAGGCTGCATGACGGTCACAGAGCAAAGCAGGTGCTTTCCAATGAGTGACAACCAGGAAAGTGGCATGCTGGGGCAGTGACGCCCTGCAGAGCTGCCACTCTTGAATGACAGCTCTGTTTCAGAACTGTCAGCAACAAGCAGTTATGTTCACCTATGGGGGTGGAGCGGGTGCATGAGTGATGGCTGCACAGCTCATATGTGTTGGGGTAAGAAAAAAAAAAGGAAAGGTCTTTTCAAAGAAACTCAATTGCAATTAAAACACATATGTGGCGGGTGGGGTGGCTCACTGGTTGAGCATCGACTTATGAACCAGGAGGTCAGGGTTAGCTTCCCAGTCAGGGCATATGCCTGGTTTGCGGGTTCCATCCCCAGTGTGGGGCATGCAGGTGGCAGCCGATCAATGATTCTCTCTCATCATTGATGTTTTTATCTCTCTACCTCTCTCTTCCTCTCTGAAATCAATAAAAAATATTTTTTCTTTATTGATTAAGATATTACATATGTATCCATATGTTCCCATTGCCTCCCCTCCCCCCAGTCCTGCCCTCACCCTCACCCCCTGTTGTCTGCGTCCATTTGTTAGGCTTATAAGCATGCATACGCATCCTTTGGTTGATCTCTCCCCCTACCCCCAAACTCCCCTACCTTCCCTCTGAGGTTTGAGGATCTGATTGACGCTTCTCTGTCTCTGGATCTGTTTTTGTTTATCAGCTTATGTTGTTCATTATAATACACAAATGAGCGAGATCATGTGATATTTATCTTTCTATGACTGACTTATTTCACTTAGCATAATGCTCTCTAGATCCATCCATGCTGTTGCAAATGGTATGAGTTCCTTCCTTTTTTACAGCAGTGTAGTATTCCATTGTATAGATGTGCCACAGTTTCTTAATAAAAATATATTTTAAAAAAACACATATGCGCATGCACACATATCCATGTACATGCACAAATACCCTGACAAACTGGCCTGCTTTAGTTTTCAAGGGGATTTACCAACGTACAGCTTGGCAACCTGATAACTCCAAGGGCATGCAGTTAAGTCACAATGGTTTCCTACAGAACTAAACCTGAAAAGAAGTTCAGTCCTTGAATGAAGTTATTCTCAGGAAAATTCAACATTAAGGATGTGTGACCTGGAGAGAGGAGGCTTCTGAACTTGAAGAGCTTCCTTTTCTAATTTTCCTTTTCTTATAAATATAAATAAAACTAGTTGTTTATTAAACTTTCACTTTTCACTCTTCTAAGGTCATAATACTACATTTTTGACAGATGTCTCTCAAAAACAGCCCTGGAGAGATATTAGAACTACTTATTAACTGTAAAGCTGTCTATGTGATTTGACTATCAGTAAGAATTAATTACAGTGTTTTCCCACTGATTATTCAATTTGCTTGTTTCAAGTTTTTTTCAAGTTATTTCCATTGCTGCTTTGGAACTTTCTAATTGTTTCTCTAAATTCTGTTTTCCAAATCTGTTTTCAGATCCTTGGCAACTCAAGCTTTTTTATACCACTAGAGGGAGCAGGTGTATAAGATGAAATTTTAAATAAAACGAGGCATCATCTAGAATTTAAGTGGCATGGAGTTTTAGGAAAGCTAGTTTTTAGAGGAGTATTTGAAAAGTATTTTTCCAGAGAGTTATTTTATATAGTACGTGATCTGTTTTTGTGGCATTTATTCCGTGTTCTTGAAATGCACACTACTCCTGGTGAAGCTGGGAGAAACGTATGGACCCAGCTAATCAGATTTATCTCATTTTCCTCAAATCTGAGGGTGTTCACAGGAAAGTGGGTGTGGTCTCCTTGGGGGAAAACTGCAGAGGATTAGCCAGCGTCTCTGGGATGCCAATCTGAGCCAAAGAAGACCCTGCTTACAGGACAACAGCGTGGAAACTCCCACCTCCTGTCCTCCTCACAAAGCCACCTCCATCCTCATCCAGGACATTCAGACAGACCAGGTAACCAGCTGACAACACTTAGAGATGTAAACACTCCCAGTTAGACCTCATGTTTTAGTGGAATGAGTTCAGTTAGGAAGTTGGGACCTTACCAACAGTCCAGAGGCCTGTTCAGTGCATTTCATGGAATGTCAACCAGAAGGGCACATACACTCAGCGCTTCCTCATAATGATAACGAGAATTCATAGGCTTATCTTTTTTCAAAGAACTCAAAGCAATTCATATCCAGTACAACAGGTATCCTTCTCATCACTTTCTCTTAGCCAGGCAGGTATCACTTTCCAGTTCACAAATGGAAAATAAATGAATCAAAATGGCCTTGCCAATTGATGCTGCACTTCTTTGGCCAAGGCAAAACTAAAAGCCGAAACCCAAACAGGTGTTTTTTTAGCTTTTTATATTGAATAATTTTACCTAAAAAATAGGGGTAATATAGACCCATGAAAAGGTTCATAAAAGTAAATGCAAAAACTGGCTCTCCCTTCTCCTCCAAGGCCATCAGAACATGTAAAAAGACAATATTCAATTTTATTAGGTCTGTGTTAATAACAACACTACATTACTTAGAAGATGATCATTTTTTTTAGAGCATAAATAACTCTATTTGATTAAACAAAGCAAACACTCCTTCACCAATCTGAGCCAGTTAGTAAGCAAAGTCCTTTAGAAGGATGCACGTTCAATTCCTTGTCTCTTCTAACTTCAAAGTTTTAAGTGTGGAATTTAAGATTGCACTTAAAGGGACCACCAGCTCATAAGTGTTTCTTCCTAGTGATTTTATTTGTAACTTCTCATATTTTTATTACTGTCAATAGTTACATGTATATATACATGTGTACTATATTAATTATAATAATATACATTATAATAGAAATATACATTATCCTATATAATAAAAGGCTAACATGCAAATTGTTCCCTTGACCAGGAGTTTGACCAGGGGGTGGGGCCAGCCTTCCAACTGCCTGCAGCTCCTCCCACTGGCTGGCCCCGCCCCCAATTGCCCTCCCCTAATTGGGGGTGGGGCTGGCCAGCCAACCTCCTGCATCCCCTCCCCATGGACAGACTGGCTCAATCAGCCCAGTTTGGGGCAGGCTGGCTGGACCCCACCTATGCACGAATTCATGCACCAGGCCTCTAGTAATAACATAATCATATACTAGTATATGTGTTTATACTAAAGGCCTGGTGCACAAAATTTGTACATGGCTGGGGTCCCTAGGCCTAGCCGATCAGGGCCGATCAGGGCCCTCCAGCGGCTGGCTTGGGCCTTTCTTCTGGCTGCCAGCTGGGGCCTTCCTTTGTCCTTCACCGCCCCCTACTGGTCAGCACACATCATAGTGAGGGATCGGTCTCCCAGTCTAACTCCCGCGGGGACAATTTGTATATTAGGCTTTTATATATATAGACATATGTATATGTATGTATAAAACAGCCTTTAATTCTTACTGTAGAGCACAGAGCTCCACTTCCTTCTGTAGGCTGTGGATTCAGCTGGACCTCAAGCTCATATGCCATCTTTACCATTGACTAGCTGTGTGTCTAGTGGGAAGTTACTTAACCACCCTGTCTCTGCTTCCTCATTTGTAAACTGATCTGTGAGATGAGAAGAGGTACCACTTTACTCCATTCCATGTTCTTTCCTCCTGTGTCAAATATTAATTGACCATAAAGGCGTGGGTTTATTTCTCTGCTCTCTATTCTGTTCCATTGATCTATATGTCTATTGTTATGCAGTACCATGCTGTTTTGAGTACTATGGCTTTGTAGTATAGCTTAATTATCAGGTAGTGTGATACCTCAAACTTTGTTTTTCTTTCTCAAGACTACTGAGGCCATTCCGGGTTTTTCATGGTTCTGTATAAATTTTTGAAATTTTTGTTCTAGATCTGTGAGCTATGCCATTGGTATTTTAATAGCAATTGTGTTGGATTTGTATATTTCTTTGGGTAGTATGGACATTTTAATGGTGTTAATTTTTCCTATCCATGAATATGGTATATGCTTTTGCTTATTTGTATCTTCCTCAATTTCTTTCTTCAGTATCTTATAATTTTCCAAGTACAGATCTTTTACCTCCTTGGCTAAATTTATTCCTGGTACCTTTTTGTTGCTGTTGTTGTTGCAATAGTAAGTGAGATTGTTTTCTTAATTTCTCTCTGTAATAGTTTATTATTGATTTATAAAAATGCCACATTTCTTTATAAAAAAATTCTTTATTGTTGAAAGTATTACATATGTCTCCTTTTCCCCCATTGACTTCTCCCAGCTCACTCCTGCCAATTTCTGAATATTAATTTTATATCTTACTACTTTGCCAGATTCATTTATTAGGTCTAGTAATTTTTGGTGGAGTCTCAGTCTCTTCAATAAATGGTGTTGGAAAAATTAGACAAATACATGCAAAAAAAAAAATGAAACTAGACCACCAACTTATACCATACACAAGAATAAACTCAAATTGGACTAAAGACTGAAATATGTCACAAAACCATAAAAATCCTAGAAGAAATCATAGGCAATAAAATCTCAGAAATTTCTTGCAGCAATATTTTTGCAGATATATCTCCTTAGGCAAGGGAAACAAAAAAAAACAAAACAAATAGGACTATATCAAACTAAAAAGCTTTTGTACAGAAGAAACCATCAACAAAATGAAAAGAGATCCCACTGAATGGGAGACCATATTTACCAACGACCCATCTGATAAGGGGGTTAATTTCCAAGATGTATAAAAAAACTTATACTACTCAACAAGACAAACAACCTCAAGAGGACAAACAACCAAATTAAAAAATGGGCAAAGGACCTGAATAGACACTTCTCCAAAGAGAACACATAGATGGCCAAGAGACATATGAAAAATGCTCCACATCACTAATCATCAGAGAGATGCAAATTAAAACCACAGTACAGTAAGACATCTCCTCATGCCTGTCAGAATGGCTATCAATAAATCAACAAACAAGCACTGGCAAGAATGTGAGGAAAAGGGAACCCTCATACATTATTGGTGGGAATGCAGACTGGTGCAGCCACTGTGGAAAACAGTATGGTGTTTGCTCAAAAATTTTAAAATGGAATCTCCTTTTGATCCAGTGATTCCACTTCTGGAAATATATCCAAAGTAACCCAAAATACTAATTTGAAAGAATATATGTTCCCCCTATGTTCTTAGCAGCATTATTTAGTATAACTAGAGGCCTGGTGCATGAATTCGTGCATAGGTGGGGTCTGACCAGCCCACCCCGATCTGGGGTGCAGCAGGGGGGGGTTGGGGGGGCAGCCATGGGGAGGGGCTGCTGGCGATTGGCCAGCTGGCACCGCCCCCCTGTCGAGGAGACAATTTGCATATTAGCCTTTTATTATATATGAAAGCCAAGATATGACAACAGCCCAAGTGCCCAACAATAGATGAGTGGTTAGGAAAGCTGTGGTACATTTACTCAACAAAATACTACTTAGCCGTAAAAGAGAAAATCTTACCTTTTGTAACAGCATGGATGCACCTGGAGAGTATTATACTAAGTGAAATAAGCCAGTCAGAGATAGACAAATACCAGATTATCTCATTTATATGTGGAATCTAATGAACAAAATAAAATGACGAACAAAATAGAAACAGAGGCACGGACACATGTAACAGAGTGACAGCTGTCAGAGAGGACGGGGTTTGGGGGACTGGGTGAAAGAAGGAGAAGGGATCAAGCAAAATATAACACACAGACACAGACAATAGTGTGGTGATAGCCAAAGGGAAAGGGGCTGGGGCAGGTGGAGGTGGGCAAAGGGGTATGGGAATTGGGACAGAGAGTTTGCTTGGGGCGATGGGCACACAATGCAGTGTGCAGATGATGTTTGGTTGAGTTGTACACTTAAAGCCTTGTATGGTTTTGTGAACCAAACTCATCCCAACAAATTCAATTGGAAAAGAAAAAAGAGGTACCACTAATGAGGCACCTAGCATGTGCTAGTTGATATTCAACAGATTGTTATTCCCCCAGCCTCTCTGCAAGCCTCTCCTACTCACCTGATCAGGTTCTTGCTCTTAGACAGAATAATAAAACCCCTCTATGGCTTGGACTGTGGTTCAGCCAGGATAGCCCAGTGGCTCAGAGCTGACTTGAGATGAAAATGAAGTCATCTTCAGGGTCCACACTTTCCACAGCCCTTAAAATTATTCTCCTTGACAGAAGTCTAGGCTCTCTTTTTTGCTCTCTCTCTTTTTCCAGTTTGTTCCCATCAGTCTTTTGAGCAGTGAAACAGCTCCTGGCTCCCACTTCAACAGGAAGAACTGGGGGAAAAACCTCTGAGAAGTTTCCTTCTTGACATTTCTCCTTAAGGTCATCCTGTTCCAAGCTGGCTTCATGGAAGCCTCTGACTTGGGGAGATATTTTGTGACTTTCAAACTATCTGGTTTGTAAAACAGGGTGGGAATCTTCAGAATTAAAACAAAAGTCTATCTACAGGCTCCTCTAGAGTGGGAACATTTCTTTGCAGTGGAAGATAGGTTATTTTAAAAATATATTAGTTTTAAAAATCGAGAACAAATTTACTGCTCTTATTTATAACTATTACGGCTTTTCTAGAATGTGCCATTGAGCAGAAAAGGGTTGGACTGGCTTATGTTGTAGAGAGATGCCCAAGATACATTACTTGTATTTCCTTGATTCTTAATCCGAGCTTTTAGATAGTTATAACTTTATTTACAGATGTTTAAATTATTTATTCTTTGCTTTGAAACTTACTTCATAATGTTCTACTTCTTCTTTTAATTTCTTAATCACTTCTTCCTGGTCCTTCAGCTTTAGTAACAAAATACTTATTTTGTCAGTAGTTATGTCATGCAGAGAACTTCTCCCTTCTTCTACCTCAAAGAATTGCTGCAGGGGGGAAGGGGAAGAAGCAGCATTAAAAATCAGACATCTAGCGCCACCAGAAACCATTTCATGTTTTATTTAAGTTACTGCCTTGTAAGTTATTTTATTTTTGTAATGTGTACACAATTTTTAGTAAAAATATTTATGTTGACTGATATGCTGAAGTATCGTGGACTATAGCAGAGTATTATTCTGGTCAGGGCATATACACAGATTATGGGTTCAGTCAGGTGTGTATGGAAGGCAACCAATCGATTTTTCTCTCTCACATAGATGTTTCTCTCTCTCTCTCTCTCTCTCTCTCTCTCTCTCTCTCTCTCTCTCTTTCTCTCTCTCTCTCTCTCCCTCTCCCTCTCCCTCTCCCTCTTCTTCTCTCTCTCCCTCTTCCTCTCCCTCTCCCTCTCTCCCTAAAAACAATAATCACATTGGGTGAGGATTTAAAAAAATAAATAAATTGCTCTATGTTATATAATGAATACCAGTAGACTGAGAAGAAGATTATTTTGAGGTGGAATTAAGAGTCCAGCCAGGAACATAACACTGACATAGTCTACACAGCCACTAATAAAAAAAAAAATCAGTATATAAATATGCAGTAGACATAAAAAAGTAAAAACAATAATCTATATGGTAATAATTTCTTTTTTAATTAGGTGATTTTTAAAAAATCTTCACCTGAGAATATTTTTTTCCATTGCTTTTCAGAGAGAGTGGAAGGGAGGGGAGGAGGGAGAGACAGAAACATCGATGTGAGAGAGACACATCAACTGGCTGCCTCCCACACTCGCCCCAACTGGGGATGAGGAGCTAATCTGCAACCCAGGAATTGAACCTGCGGCCCTTCTGTGTGTGGACTGATGCTCTAACTACTGAATAATACTGTCCAGGGCTAAATTGGGTAACTTTTAAAGAACAGCATTGATTATGTAACCTATTCTTCCCATTTATTCATAGCTATACCTACAAATAAAACACTTTGCAGAGCCAAGGCACATTGCCCCACTAGTGCCCTGGGTGCTACAAAAGCATCTCAAATGCAACAAGTCCAAACACAGTTCACCATCTTCACTGTCATCCATTCTGTCTTCCCCCATTAACAGAAGCACAAGCCTGAAACCTATTTCTGTCATTTTAAGCCCCTCTACTCCCTCACCATCTCACCATATCTATTCAGTCCACTCCTATATGTCTCCTAAACCCACCCTCTCCTTCCCTATCCCACTGCCTTGCTAGCCTGGGCTATTGTAATAGCCTGTTACTTGCCTCCCCCCCCTCCCCTTTTGTGCTCTCCAACCAATCTCCACACTGTGACCAAAATGATCTATCTAAAATGCAACTCCCTCCATCTCTAACAGGCTAAAATCCAACTCCCTTTGCACGGTGCACAAAATAGCACCGTTCACAATCTGCTGCCAGCTTACCCGGCCACTAACTCATGCTAGTCTTCTCTTCCTGCTCCCCGATCCAAACTGGGCATTTTACCAGTACTGATACTCAGCATGCAAGTTCTCAGACACACCATGCTGCCAAGTCTCTATGCCCTTGCACTTGGAGGTCCTACCCCACCCAACAATTTCTACTTGTCAATCAAACAGAATAGCATTAGCGTAGGCTAGCCTGAGTCTGCAGACCAGCTCTGCAGTCACTTCGTAGCTTTGTGACCCTGAACAAGTTTCTCAGACCTTTTTTATCTCAGTGTTATCATCTTACCTAATAATAGACAAACATGTAAATTGACTGTACCTTTGCTATGCTAACCAGCCAATCAGGAGAGTATGCAAATTAACCCAACAAAGATGGTGGTTAATTTGCATACATAGGCTCCAAGCAGCTGAGTGAAACCGGATGGCCCTGGGGCCAGAGCAGCGAAGCCAGACGGCTCCGGGGCCAGCTCCTGCCAGAGCCGGGCCAGAGCGAAGGCCTGGGTCCCGGGTGCCAGAGGCAAACCAGTGCCAGCATCCAAGGGAAGGGAAGGCCTATTGCATGAATCTCTTTGTGCAACAGGCCTCTAGTCTGTAATATTAATAGTACCTGAATCATTAAGAATTTAAAAAGGTTATGAAGAGTGTCTATAACACACTCAGCTCCCAGTAAGTATTATATCTTAGTATTTATGAATGTTGTTACTGTTTATCATTCCAACCCAGATGTTACGTGCTCTGAGAAACCTTAACACCTCTCTCCTGCCCACTTGCCTTCCACCAATGTGTTCCGATAGGCTGGCCGAGTCATCTTCAAAACACTGCAGAAACCACCCTGGGGAGCTCATTTAAAATCCCACCAGGAGCTACTGCACAGCTCAGCCAGCCTGCCTTTTGGATGTGCCTGATCTCTGTGGACTTCAGGACAGAGAGGGTCACAGTTCTTCAGAACAGAAAGTTTTACTTCTGACATTTCCTAAAGTAACTGTAAGGCCCAAACACATTGGGTTCATTTCTCTTCCTCTCCAAGAATGTTTCTGATGTCTTACTGGTGTTTATGGAGCCATCTGGACTCAAGACAAGATGAGTGGAAAACAGTTCTATTTTCCTTCCCACCTCTTCAAATCAGGCCTCCTGTCTCCTATCTCCTAACTCTTCAAAAAATTCTCAGGAATGTGCTCTGGCTTTTTTTTTTTTAACTTTTAGATAACAACAACAAAAAATTTATAAAGGAAATAAAGATAGGAAGAAAGCAAAAACCAAAACAAAAACAAAAATCCCAAATCCCAATCCAGCCTACTCCTACCCATCAAAGCTCCTATCTTTCCCCAGCTCTGGCCTCTCTTACTCTTGGCAGCCTGTGGGAGATAAGGGTTTGAGCCTGGCTTTTCTAGTATCCAGAGATTTGGTTAAATCTAGATGTGACTGTGAAGGTATTTTTTTTTTTTTAACATGACATAAACATTTAAATCAGTAGACTGAGTAAAGCAGATTACCTTCCATAATGTGGGTGGGCCTCATCCAATCAGTTTAAGGCCTTCAGAGAAAGACTGTGATCCCCAGAGAAAGAGGGGATCCTGTCAGCAGACTTGAGCTGTAACATCAACTCTTTTGTTAGTCTTTGGCCTGCTGGCCTTACAGATTTCAGATTTGTCAGCCCCTAGAATCACATGAGCCAATTCCTTATAATTTTCCTCTCTCTCTCTCCCATATCCTATTGGTTCTGTTTCTCTGGAGAATCCTAACTAACAATATCTACATTTAAAGACCCTAAATTCACACCTACACCTTCAATTCCAAGCCAAGACCACAGTGTTTATTTACTAAAGGCCTGGTGCACAAATTTCTTGCACTTGGGGTGGGGGGGTTTCCCTCAGCCCATCCTGTGCCCTCTTGCTGCCCAGGAGCCCTAACCGGCAGTCAGACATCCTTAGCACTGCCGCAGAGTCAAGAGAGGCTCCTACCACCACTTCTGTGCTTACCAGTCATGAGCCCTGCTCAGAGCTTCTGGCTGAGCAGGCTGGTGGGCCCCTGGGATGGGTCGGTCATCTGAGCAGCGCTTCTGCTGTGGGAGCACACTGACCACCAAGGGCCAGCTCCTGCATTGAGCGTCTGCCCCCTGATGGTCAGTGCACGTCATAGCAGCCAGTAGTTCTGCTGTTTGTTTGATTTCCACCATTCGGTCTATTTGCATATTGGGCTTTTATTATATAGGAACTATCTGAAAGTCAATGTGCCCCCCTGAGGGGTCCTGGATTGTGAGAGGGAGCAGGCCAGGCTGAGGGACCCCACTGGTGCATGATCAGGGCTGGGGAAGGACACAGGAGGTTGGCCAGCTGGGGAGGGACCACGGGAGGGCTCCAGGGTGTATCTGGCCCATCTCTCTCAGTTCTGATTGGCCAGACCCCAGCAGCAAGCCAACCTACCAGTTGGAGCGTCTGCCCCTTGGTGGTCAGTGCACATCATAACGAGTTGAGTGGCCTTAGCATATCATTAGCATATTATGCTTTGATTGGTTGAATGGATGACTGAACACAGCATATTAGGCTTTTATTATATAGGATTTTTAAAAATATTTTTATTGGTTTCAGAGAGGAAGGGAGAGAGAGAGATAGAAACATCAATAATGAGAGAGAATAATTGATCGGCTGCCACCTGCACGCTCCACACTGGGGATCGAACTCACACACGGGCATATGCCTTAACCAGGAATTGAACATGACCTCTTGATTCATAGGTCAACTCTCAACCACTGAGCCACATGGCTGGCCACAGTGTTTATTTAGTATGGCCTATCTCCTTTCCATAGTAAACTGGCTCCTGTTATGCTCAATGCACGGATGTATGTATTTGTTGGAGCCCCCTTCATGTAACTGATCTCTTGACCACACTCTGCTACTGACAGTGGGCTAGAATGCAGGAGAGGAGAAAGGAGGCATGAGCATATCTTTGGTCTTTTCATTCACAAAAGCAAGAATATTTATTTTGGACTTTAATTTCTTTGGTCTTTCAAGAAGAATTAACATTTATCTTTTAATTTTGCCATTGGCATTTGAAAATGAGAAGAGGTTAATATTCCCATCTGGGGCATAACTGTCAGCTTTTTCTTATTATAATAATTTTGTGCTGTCCTTTGATATTATGGGCAAAAACTCTTTTAAAAAAATCTATATTGTTGAAAGTATTACAGATATCCCCCTCTCCTCCTCATTGCCTCCCTCCACCCAGTTCCAGCCCCACCACAGGCCTTCACCACCCTATTATCTGTGTTCATATGTAATGCATATCTATCTATCTATCTATCTATCTATCTATCTATCTATCTATCTATCTATAAAAAACCTAATATGCTAAGTGTCTGACCGTTCAACTGTTTGACTGTTTGGTGAGTAGTTGTAATGTGCACTGACCATCAGGGGCAGATGGATTCATGCACTGGTGGGCCCCCTTAGCCTGGCCTATGGGGATTGGACTTAAACCAGCAGTTCGACATCCCCCAAAGGGTCCTGGATTTCAAGAGGGCGCAGGTCAAGCCAAGGGCTTCTAGTATGCATATAAGATCTTTGGTTAATCTCTCCCCAT